AGAAAGAGATCGATGTTTGAAAACATGTCTTAGTAAATGTGACATGCAGAGCCTTTCACACTCGGATCTGGTGTCCATTGTGTCTTCTTGCATCTTCTGGTGTCACTGGAACCGCTCAAAGGCACAGAGAGGCATCCTTGCTGGTCCAGAACATCCACCATCTTGGGGCAAATATTGAACTTACTTCTTGAGCCTGAGGGCCCCCCACACACACATGCACACATGTGCACACACTCTCTCGTCCCTTTTATCCTATGGAGTGCAACTTGGCTCCGGATACCGGAACAATGCTCCTTGTGCAAACAGGGTCGTGCCTTGGAGGGGCTCCGGGTGTTTGCTCTGCCACTCAAGAGCTCTCAAGAGGAAGCCGCGTGGAAAGGGACCCCCGCCCAATGGCCCCCTGCCATGGTAACCCTCAGGCACGACCCAGGAAGAGGCAGGAGAGGGGCTCAAAGGAAGGACTTTCCTTTCCAAGGGGCTCCTCGGGGACGCCACCAAGCCTCTGTGCACAGTCTCCGGATCTGGACCCTTTCTGATCTCAGGGCTCAGTTCGGTTCTCTGTGGGGCGAAAGCCAGTGGAAGCAACTGGCTTCTATCCCTGTTCTGGATTTGGATCCCAATGGTAATACAGCTTATTTTATTTATTTATTTATTTACCGAATTTATATACCGCCACTCCCCAAAGGCTCGGAGTGGTTTACAACATACATATGCAATACATTACATTTAAAAACAAAGAAAAATGTCAATCAAGCAAGTGTCCAGGGTGGGAGAAGGTCGCTATCCAAGGGGTGAGCTTCAGGACCTTGGAGAGCTCCTGCTGCTCTCCCTTGGAGCAAATGGGTGGACCTCACTCAGCACAGGCATATCTATCCATCTTGCAAATTGCACCCTTTGCATTTGTTCAACAGACCTTGGTTCCTTCTCCCACCCTGGACACTTGCCATCAGATCCTCTAAGGTTGCCAGCCACTGATGCAGGCAAAATGTCAGGAGAAAATGCTGCTGGAACGCATTGGCCACACAGCCCAG